ATTTTCAAATAACACAATTTCCATTTAATAAAATTGATATCTAGGGAAAATTTTCATAAAAAAGAATTTTTATTTATCAGAATTGTTCATTTGTCGAATTTCTATTTATTCGAATATTAACTAAACAAGTTGTAAATTCAGATGTTCATTACATATTGAACATTTTGCTTCCTCTTTACGATCAGCAAAAAAAGTAGCTTCCTCGTAAAGAAAGCATTAAAATTGAAATAAACATACAAAAATAATATAATAATGTAAACATTAGAGTAAAATTTAAAGAATTAATGGAAGTTAAAAAATCAAAAATTCATATTTTAACCGAAATTTCTAAATATTAATGAAAAATAATATATAATTTATAATTATTTACAATTATATCGATTCGTTTTAATGCAAGGAACACAATTATTTTATATTTAAACTTGAATTTAAATAAATATAAAAATTTTCAGCTAAAATGTGTATTTTCAATTTTTTAACTTTCATTAATTTATTAAATTTACCTCAAATGTAAATTTTATATATATACCAATCGATTCGTTTTCATGTAAAGAATACAATTATTTCATCTATAAACTTAAATTTTAAAAATCACAAAATTTTATAGCCAAAATGTGAATTTTTGATTTTTTAACTTTCATTAATTTTTTTTAATTTAAATTAAAACTATACTTTATATATACTGATCGATTTGTCTTGACGTAAAGAATACGATTTTATTATATATAACCTTAAATTTTTCTATTTAAAAATTTTTTCGATTAAAAAAAATTTTTGGAAAAAAGACGATAAATTTTTTTTTTTTAGGTATTTTTTAAAATCCTTTGGTCAGATTTGAGATATTAATATGATAAATGAGCCTACCAAATTTTATCTAAATCCATTAAAACCTGGTAAAGTTATCTTCTAAACAAAAAAGGGATCCACACACACACACACATACATACATCCGGACAATTGATCAGGATCTCATATAACATGTTTCTATATAGAGATAAATTTGTTTCCGACACTTTGAAAATTTTAACAAACGAAAAGACTACAAAGCTTCCTCCACGAGGAAGCAAAAGTATTTTAATTAACAGAATTTCCAAATAAAAGAATTTCCATATAACAAAATTCTTATTTAAGGCCATGTGAGACAAAGACACTTTTTGGTAGTTCCAAGTATTCTCGGAAATAAGAAGAAATTTCGGGTTGAAATTTTGAGGAATGATAAAAAAGGGTTGAAGGAATTGGGCTGTTCTACTTATTTACTATAATTGAATGCGAAATAATTTAAAAGAAGTAATTAATAGTGGAGTTAATTGGTTTTTTTTATTTCTTTGAGCGGCCACTAACTCGAATTGGCGCTAGTTCCTGGACCACTGATACATTCACGCGACGTCTGTGTGTACCCCCGCCATGTTGACTTCAACTTTCGTTCAAAAATGGCAATTTTCAAACTTTTATTTTTAATACTTAAACGCAAAATTTTGCTTCAAACCGAGAACAGCGCCATTCTGAATGCTATTCTCTATCATAGTTTACAAATTTCAACCAAAAATTCTTTACCATTTTAGAGAATACTTGGTAATACGATACCATGTTTTTTGCATGGGGGTCACGTGGGTATTTCCCACATGGCCTTAACAAAAGTTTTATTCAAAAAATTTCTATACAATCTAATTTTTATTTAATAGTATTGTATAGGACAATTAGATTGTATAGGAATTTTTTGAATAAAACTTTTGTTAAAACTAAGAATTTTGTTATATAGAAATTCTTTTAGTTGGAAATTCTGTTAATAAAAATACTTTTTAAGTAAATATTCGGATAAATAGAAATTCGACAAAAAGAACAATTCTGATAAATAAAAATTCTTTTTTATGAAAATTTTTCTAGATATCAATTTTGTTAAAAATGAAAATTGTGTTATTTGAAAATTCGATTTATTAGAAAATCTGCTTTATCTAAGTTCAGTTAAATAGAAACTCTACAAAATTAGAATTTTGTTAAATAGAAATTTTTCATTATTAAAATTGGGATCATTATAAAATCTCTATTTTAAAATTCTACTGAATGTAAATTCGATAATTTTTAATTTGACACTACAAAAATTCCGTCAAGTCTAATGAAGGGAATATTTATGCGTCTCTAATTTTACAATGATTAAAAATTCCTTTTTTTATTTACTCTCTAAATCTGAATATGTGAAATTTCACTTAGAATGTTCCAAAAGTCTTCCACGTAGAAAAATAAGTGTATATGCACTTAAAAATAAGGGAAACTTCACTTATTTTGCAGAATATTCATTTATTTGAATTTTCATTTTACAGGATAAATTATTATTAACCGATTATCAATATTGCCGAATATGTATTTATAAGCGAAAATTAATTAGCCATTAATTCAATTTGATCGAATTTCAATTTGTGCAAAACGTTGTTTCGTAGAATATTCATTTTGCAGAATAAGTAATGCAATTGACCATATCAGAAATTATCACAAAAATGTTGATTGGTCAAATTTTGAACTTCGCGCCGAATTATTTCTGACAAATTGATTTTCGACCATTTGAAACTTTCTGTAAAATGAATATTCGAACAGAAGAATATTATGTTAAGTGAATATTCTTTTTATTGTTCTTTCTACATAATTAAAATTATTTTGAATTCTATTCTCCAAAATGAATATTCTACGAAACAACGCGTTTCGCACCAATTGAGATTTGATAAAATTAGATTTCTGGCTAATTAATTTTCGTCTAAATGAAAATTTGTCAATATTGCCGATAAATATTATTAATTGGTTAATAATTTATTCTGTAAAATGGAAATTCAAATAAATGAATATTCTGTAAAATTAAAAATCTGTACAATTATTTTTTTGAAAAATTAAGATTTTTTTAAATTACTATTCTGCAAAAATAATATTGTACAAAATAAAATTCAATTAAAACAAATTTTAAAAAATTAACTTTAGAGCATATTAATGAGTCTCTCTCTCTTTTTCAAAACTGTTTCAAAAATTTCAGTTACAATGTCTTTGAATTTACTTTTACAGTTACTTATTTTCCTTTTACGCAACTTACAATTAGAAATCAGTTACTCTTTTACAATTTTCTGTAACATTTTGTATTTTTAAATAACATTTGACAAATGTTCGATACAAGTAACTGACTTTAGCTTTCAGTAACATAATTTTTAAATTACGATACATTTTGTATCTTAATTTTGAAGGAAAATTCAAAACATTTCTAACAGTGTTGATAAGATTTAAAAATCTTATTCTCACTTTCCAAAATTATCTTGCTATTCAATGATAGAATTTTTGTTATTAATAATTGCATAGTCCTACTGATAAAATATTTAGTTTACAAATAAAGTTACTTATTATAAGAGAAGTGTGAGAGAGAGAAAGATAGCGATATCGCGTGGTGTTGATAAATACCGATATTTAAAAGTTTACCGAAGAAAGGAGTTTGCTGTCGTTTTTCTCGCAACGTAATTTTTTATGGTCAAATTGGCACACGAGACCCTTGATTGCATCCACAAAGTTTTTTGCAACGTCACTTCTTTCCACACAAACACATCCCCGTCGAAGCTTTATTAAAATAGTGAATATACAGCGTGTTATATCTTGTACATGCATATATATATCTATATATCGCCTTGTATTTAAGGTTTTGAATTTCAAATGAAGCAACCGTTGCCTGCCATCCGCCATTGATATGCGCGAAATATCGTTCATGGCACAACGATCTATTCTTATTTCAAATGGTGATCTAAAATTCGGAAGGGGTTGTCATTATGTTGTATATTCAAACATTGTGTTTGTTGTCACAGGTTTTTCTTAAAATTCATATACACAAAGCATGTAATACATATGGGTCAGAATGTTTTAAATCTATCATCTAAAATTATCACAAAATAATTAATTTTTAATGTTAAATCATTTTTTTTTTTTTATTTCTATTGTGATCATCAGAATTGGAACCTAACATCTGCTTTAGAATTTAATGTTGAAAATCTAGAAAACTGTTTAAAGACTTTGAAAACAGTCTCACCGGTGCTTTTTCAAAGTTTTCAAGTTTTTTTTGTGTCGAATTTTAAAAATCTAACGCCAATTTTAAAGTTTAACCAAAGAATCATTTATTTTTTCAAAGTTTCCCTACAGAATATTGTTAAATTCAAATTTAATCACTGACTGAATTTAATTTAACAATATTCTCTATATGCAATCTTTGAACAAATAAAATAATAAATGAACTTGAAAACTTCGAAAAAGCGCCAGTTGGATTGTTTTGAAAGTATCTTTACAGTTTTTCGGATTTTCTAGGATTCCTCTGCCTTGAATTCTAAAGCAAATATTATAGGTTCCAATTGTATTGAAAATTTTTAATAAGCATTATGTTTTTGTGTATAATTTTTTGAACAATATTTGACTAGTAAAAATTGAATTTCATTAGTTTATATAATCACACAGAAAAAAAACTGAACTCAAAATGAACCAGGTTGATGGCGCCACTTTCTATGTCGTTGAGCATTGAATCATTTTGAATTGCAACAAAAATGAGACTAGGTTTTTTCTGTGCGCAGAAAAAGCAGGTTTTTTTTAAATTCATCGCTAAAAACACAAAAATTGTTTTTAAAAAAAAGTGCCCGACGGATTTTGATTTTTCTTTTTGGAAAATGTTCAGTGAGGTGCCCCGAACAAATTGCAACAAAAATCAGCGAAAGAATGCAACTTGAGGGTTAAAATTGTTTCCAGGGTACCGTGAAATGTTATACTGAAAAAATTGTTTATTAAATTTATTTATAATTAAAATTTTAATCTGTCTTAACTCTTTGTTTATGGTAATAACCGTTACCGTCTAAAAGCGTCAATTTCAACACCTGGTGGTAATTATAATAATAGAACTATATTTTTGCATATGTATATAATTTTTATATATTTTAGTAGAAAAACAATTGCCTGTAATTATTATTCATAAAAAATTAAAAATATATATCACTAACCTTTGTCTGCAATCGATGTATCATATATATATTTGGGATGATTAAATCTGCCACAAACACATGCGATTTAAAAAATTTCGAACACTCCCGAAACCACATTTAAATTAAGAAACAAAATACTTTTTCTAAAGATTTAAACGATCGCGATTTTAAAAATTTCGAACACTCCCGGAACAAAAAAATTACTAGAATGACAAAAAAAACGCCTTCCCGTTGTAATGTACTGCAGATCTGAAAATATCAAGTAAAATACGATATAGAAAATATATATTTAACTCAGACAAATTTTGCTTTTACAATTATAAAATTTCCACTCTCTTTGACCACATTTAAACAGGTCAATTACAAGTGATTAACATCACTTTTTACATTTTTAACATATCTAGTATGTTCAATGATTTTTTTGAAAATTTACCAGAAATACCTAAAAAAAAAATTTACTCAGAGATTTGTAAATTCGCTGAATATGAATTCAACATGTAAAATGGTCAAGTCGACTGAATATAGAGCTTCACAATTTTCATCATAACCCGAAAAGTATTTGACATGTTATAAGATTCTTGATGGGCTCAAATGAAAGTGAAAAAGATAAAGATTATATAGACATGTAGGTCTGAAATTGTTTCTTCCACTTTTCTGGCATAGGGAGGGATTTGAATATAGGGTTAAAAAATTTAAAGATTACTTCATTTTTCTCTCGTGATAAATAAAAATCTATTAATGCTATTACATTAGAAAATATCTCATTGTTTTGGAAATTTTATAAACTTTTAAAATCTGTTTTTTAAATTTCAGTGTAGCTTTATTTTTCACTGATTTATCGAAATTCAAAGGCAGTCATGTTTTTAATAGCGCTCAACAATGACCTGGGTTTTTAAAAATAAAATTTAATTAAAAACTTTGTAATTTTAGAATTTGACATTCATTTATTTTTACAGAAAGTATTACCGTGACACTTTGAAGTACATTTTTTCTTTTGTTTTTTAAAATCTATCGTACCTCTGATCCTCAAATATATTTTTTGAAGCAGCTCAGTGTTATTTCTACATCGAAAACATTTTCTAAATTCCAATTTTAAAAAATTAAATTATAATGTTAAAAGAACGATTTTAAGAGTGACAAAATTTATTTAAGAGAGTCGAATGATCTCTGAAATTTTTTGGCAAGAAGAGACCTTTAATTATCGCTCTATAAAAACGGCACAAAACGTGAAAATGATAAACATTGATTTTAAAATACTTTTTTCTTGAAAGACGGACACTTTTTATAAAAGCAGCTAGAGATCGTTATCTTATATAAATTTCCTAAATCCTAAAAATTATACGAATCCATAGAAAAACACGATTGCAAAACGAAAAGTAATATAATGAGGGGTTCATTACCTCCTGCCGCCGTCAGATGGCAGCAGCATGCAGGGCGCACAAAGTCGCAGCTGTTATTAGATTACTTTTCTACTTTTTGTTTTGCAACCATGTTTTTCTATGGATTTGTACAGTCTTTTCGATTTAGGAAATTTATAAGATGAGGATTTTGGCTGATTTTGTTAAAAGTGTTCGTGTTTCGAGAAAAAAGTATTTTAAAATCAATACTATTTCACGTTCAGAGCGATAATTAAAGCTCTCTTCTTGCCAAAGAATTTCAGATACCGTTCGACACTCTTAATGCATAAATATAAAAACGAAACAAGAAATTAACTTCATTGTTAATAAATTTATATGAACCCAAATCTAAAACATCTATTATCTATACGCATATAAGTATAAATTAAATAAATTCTGGTTCCTCATAAAATACTATTTTTAAATATTTAAAACTCAATTTGTTTTAAATGGGGCACGTAAGCTAATTTTAAAACCTATTGAGAAAAGTTTTTTATTCATTTTAGAACCATAATCAAAAAGAATTTTTAAATGCCAATTCATTTTTAACAAACAATCTTTACAGAGTTATAATCATTTGAATTTTCTGAGTAGTGAATGTTTCAATATCTTAATGTTACACGACCTCAAATTTGGCCAAAAAACATCTTTTCTACACTTTTAGGTTAGAATATCTCAAAATCCTGACGTGCTGGGTCAATTCTGAGGTCAGATTCGAATTCAAAATACTACGAAAAATAGATAGTCTGGTTCTTGGTTCTAAAGTAGGCTAAAATTTTGTTTGCTGGTGTTACTGATAACAAATTATTGGTTTCCAATACTGGCCCAGTCTGTGTAGCCATTTAATAACGAAGGTTTTGAGAATCCGTTTATTGTCTTGGTAGTCAATAATGAACCAATATTGGCTATACCAAAGATTGGCAACGTCGTGATCATTCCAAGATTTTAAAAATCGCGGTCCAATATTGGCTGTCATCATTACACCAATATTGAAACAATTGGCTCCCATTTTTAGGCCATTACACAGGCACACAAAAAATAAAAAGCTGTTTGGCCGAGACACTACACTAGTTTCCATGTATTTTTTCACGCTGAATCCGAATCCGAAGTCAGAATTATCAGATTGGCTTTTATTTTTGAGATAAACTCAAAAAACTGCTCAGAAAAAAAAATAAAATCAAAAAGTTAAAACATTTTTGAATGTCACTGCGATAGTGTAATTCCATGTATTTTTTGTCGCTGAATCCGAATCCAAAGTCAGAATTGTTAGATTCGCTCAAAATTTTGAGATAATTGCAAAAAAACGCAAGTAACAAAAAACTCAAAATACTCAAAATCAGTTTTTTGGAATTATCTTCGAAATTTGAGCCAATCTGATAATTCTGATTTCGAATTCGGATTCAGCGTGAAAAAATACATGAAAATGCACTATCGTAGTGTTTCGGCAAAAAAAAAATTTCTTTGAGCTAAAATCGCCAAAAACTGATAAAAATTCTGAATTAGGGGCACAGATAATTTTTTTTGCCGAAACACTACGATAGTGCATTTTCATGTATTTTTTTACGCTGAATCCGAATTCGAAATCAGAATTGACAGATTGGCTCAAATTTTGAAGATAATTCTAAAAAAACTGATTTTGAGTATTTTGAGTTTTTTGTTACTTGCTCTCTTAATTTGAATCAGTGAAATTTCACTGGTGAAATAGCTAGAAGTCGGTTACTGAATCATTTAGTGAAATTTTAACTGAAAATCAGTCATATATCACTGATTTCCAGTGAAAATTTTACTAAATGAATCAGTCAATCTGTATTATCGGTAATGGGTAAAACAGATTGACTGATTCATTTAGTAAAATTTTCACTGGAAATCAGTGATATATGACTGATTTTCAGTGAAAATTTCACTAAATGATTCAGTAACCGACTTCTAGCTATTTCACCAGTGAAATTTCACTGATTCAAATTAAGAGAGTGCGTTGTTTTGCAATTATCTCAAAATTTTGAGCTAATCTAACAATTCTGACTTTGGATTCGGATTCAGCGACAAAAAATACATGGAATTACACTATCGCAGTGACATTCAAAAATTTTTTAACTTTTTGATTTTATTTTTCTTTCTGAGCAGTTTTTTGAGTTTATCTCAAAAATAAAAGCCAATCTGATAATTCTGACTACGGATTCGGATTCAGCGTGAAAAAATACATGGAAATAGACTAGTGTAGTGTCTCGGCCAAACAGCTTTTTATTTTTTGTGTGCCTGTGTTATTAAATCAATGGTTTATTTCCCATTGGGTAACTTGGAGGCAAATAAGGATTTTTTAAACAAAATGCATTTTAAAGGGTAAGAATAGTACTTTCAGATGCTGTGACGACTTTTTTGGAAAAAAAAATTATCTCTTAATGTTACACGACCTCAAATATGGTCAAAAAAAAACTTCTCCTCTGCAGCTTTAATTTCAGGTTACACTGAGAAAAATGTTTAGTATCATCTACCAAAGTTTGGTTCTCTCTACCAAATTTTTTATTTGATATATGTGCAACTAATCCGTTTGGTTCGGGCTACTAAATTTTTTCGTTGAATCATTTTGTTCGGTCTACCAAATTTTTTGTTTTGCACAACTAACTTATTGTTTTTAAGCAAACAAAAAATTTAGTTAAATGAAAATTTTTTTTTTGTTTTCTCAACCAACTTATTTTTTTGTTTCACCCTTTTCTCTTTATATAACCTACCTATGCCTACTTAAATTAATTTCTATCGCGGAAAAAACCTAACACTGCTGGGGCTCGAACCCTCAGACTATACGCAACGCTAGTCGAGAACGCTGACCACTACTCTACGAATCCTACTAACAATTTGAGATTAAATCATTTTCACAATGTATAAAAGCTGGAAAAAAACTTTCGTTCTTGTAACAAGTTTTATTTATTTATTTTCACTACACAAACTTTTTTTTTTAAAAAATGTCTGAAAAACATAAAAACTTCAACACTGAAACTTCACGACGCGAACGACATATGGTTAATGTTGACATCCCGTGAATGGGAAGCGACGCCATATTTACGAGAAGAGCGCGTGCGCAATACAGCATGTCAGCTATTTAGTACTGGGAACCAAACTATTTAGTTCGTAAACATGAAAGCTTCAAATATATTTTTTGGTAGAGCCAACTAAACTTCCCGATTTATTGCCACTTTCTATTCTGTTGTGACAACCATATTTTAGTAACGCCAACTAAAAAAGCTCAACTAAATTATTTTCTTATTATTACGAAATTATTTTTCTCAGTGTAGAATATCTCAAAAACCTAAAGTGCCGTGTCAATTCTGAGGTCAGATTCGTATTCAAAATCCTTCGGAAAAGTTTAGTGTGGTTCTTGATTCTAAAGTAGGCCAAAATTTTATCGACCTAAGTTATCAAAATGCCTATATGTACCCGTTTCATAAGAAACAAATGTTTGTCCTCTATCATTAAGTATCTCAGACATAATATCCATTTATATACTAAATTTCCACCCGAAAAAAAAATATTTCCTTTGACTCTATATATATATACACACCAACACGCATGCCAAGAAGACTGACGATGACGTGCGTGTCAGACTGACGATGCGAAAATAGTTTTGTGCATTCGAGAGGGTGGATGGATGGATGGGTGTGGGTGGTTGGTTGAATCGTGCATTCGAAGGTGGTTTTTTTTTTTTTGTTTGTGTGTGTGTGAGCTAGAAAAAGAGCACGCAAGCGTTGAAGAGTAGTAAAGATGAGGAGAGTATAGAAGAGGAGGGTGGCGGATGAAAGGGAGCGGAAGAGATAAAAGAGAATGACTGTGCGATCAAGGGAGACAAACATATAAACT